CACTACAAGGATACTCAGTACAGAAATACTCACTACAAGGATACTCAGTTCAGGAATACTCACTACAAGGATACTCAGTACAGGAGTACACAGTACTCGAAAAATGTTTGCACAAATAATTAGTACAGGAATACTTTTGACAGATATTTTCATTGTAGGAAAAATGATGACTGATTTAGTCACAATTAAATTAATTTAATGGGAATCGAACATGTCACCTTCAAATGGAGATAGCGCACAACCATGCAAGAGATAGAATGATTTGGTGTGAGTTGGTTGAAGACCTATGCTCCATTGTAGGATAAAGGACATAAGAGTATGCGGGTGTTGGTGCCAATAAAGAGCCGACAGTCCGCATTTTTGAAAATGACCTGTAAGACTGGCTTTATTCCTAGCATTCGTCTGATTTAATGATTTCGTATTCTGTCTTTCCTTGAAACTCCTGCAGCTCTCCTAAGGCATTTCATCTCTGATGTCACAATTATACGTAAGTATAGTACATTAAAAGGCCTCTCGTGCTGGTTACCCGAGTTTGATTCTCTGTAAGGGATGGTGATTTCTTATGTGGGGGACAAAAATAATAATTATATTCTGCACAGTTCGTGGCGACTGTACTAAGCCTTGCGGCCTTAAATTCTCAATCTCACAACCCCCTGTTCCTCAGAACCATAAAACACACAACAAAGAAAGTTTTTTTTAGCAACAACAAAACAAACAAAACTCTTTTCACGCCATTGACGTATCGGACATATGATTCTAAACGTATATTTTTATGGACCATTCGGCACACAATCTCAACAAGCAGCATCAGATGGCTTCACAGAATATTCAATGCAGCATGGGTACAACAAACGGCCCCTATTGATTGGCAACATGCAATAGTTATACCATTGTGGAAGAACAAAGGAAGCAAACGAGAATGCGGTCAATATCGAGGCATCTCTCTTTTAAGCCATGTTGGCAAAATGTATGCCAAGATAATAGAAGCAAGACTGAGACCAGTGATAGAACCACAGCTGGCAGAAGAACAGATGGGATTTAGGAGAAATAGAAGCTGCACAGATGCAATCTTCACACTTAAACAGTTAATAGAAAAGAACATTGAATACAATAAGAACTTATTTGTGGCATTCGTAGACCAGGAGAAGGCATTTGACAGAGCCGACAGACAATTACTATGGAAAATAATGGCAGGATATGGAGTAAGCGAACACCTCATCGAAGTGTGCAAAAGTTTATACAGGGAATGTAGAAGTGTAGTTAGAATAAATCAGGGAACATCTCATCCTTTCACAGTGACATCTGGAGTAAGACAGGGGTGTGTCTTATCACCACTGCTGTTTATCACCTACAACGACAGTATATGCAAGAATGCCAAGCCCATGAATGAAGATCTTAGTAAGATCAACGAATTACTCTTTGCAGATGACCAGGCCTTGATAGCAGATACAGCCATGAACTTGCAACAACGTCTAACATCCATGAATGAAGAATGTAAAACAAATAATATGAGAATCAACACTGAAAAGACAGAAGTAATGTCAATAGGAAAAAAGAAGACAGATCTAAACATAGCAATAGAATACAAAGACATTAAACAGGCATCCGAGTTTAAATATCTGGGAACTACATTTACCGAAGATGGGAAATTGAATAAAGAAATTGACATTAGATGCAGTAATGCAAACCAAGTATTGGGACAGCTAGCCCCCCTCTTACAGCATAAGACAATCCCAATCAGCACAAAGAGACATCTTATTCAAAGCATATTTATTCCAACTCTGTGCTACCAGTGCCAGACATGGTCACTCACAACAAACCATAAAAGAAAATTAGTAACCACG